TCTGTAACAGTAAGTTCTGAATTTCCATTTTACAAGGTTCCAAAACAGAACTTTTACCTTTTGTAGCTTCCTAAATGGAAAGAACTTCTTATTTAATTGTCATTGGGAAAACAGATATACTATTATTTGTCTATTCAAGATCCAGTTATTTTTAATACCATGGCAATAATGTTACTACTGTGACTCATGCCCTTAGCACCATGTGCACAGACTCTACTGCAACACAGTTTACATTGGACTGTTTTTACAGACCACTCGGAAGCTGCAACTGGTACAAAATGCAGTGGCTCACATGCTCACAGGGGTTTGCCGGTGGGCACATATTATGCCTATTTTGCAGTCCTGCATTGGCTTCCTGTCAGCTTTTGTGCACAATGTAACCTATAAAGCCCTTTATGGCTTGGTGCCGGGTTACCTTCATGACCACATCTCTGCTGGAATCAGCCTAACCACAACTCTGCTGGTTACTCCCATTTTTGGGAGGTGGGGGCAGCTGAGGCCTGGAGTCATTTTTTTGTTATTGGGCTGGCCCTCTAGAATGGTCTCTGCAAGAAATGTATTTGGCCCCAACTCTAGTTGCCTTCAGGGAGCTTCCAAACAGGGATCTTTTCCAGAGGACGTTTTGGGGGCTGAGTACAGATGCTATCTGGAATGTATGTTTGTGCATTTTTTACTGTTGGCTTTTGTATTTTTTATTGTTATAATTGTTTTTCATGCTTTGAGATGCCAAGGTCTGCATATGATTGCAGCAGAATATAAGTGTGATACATACTGTACATTCATTCATACATACATACATATATACATATTATTCTGACTTCTTATGCTACAGCTGTATGTAAAGCCTTTGGTAGATAGGCATGAAAATATTCTTGCAGTTAAAATGGAAAACAGGATATTTAAAACATGTTCTTCTTTTTGCTTCTCAATTTCTTGTAGTACTAATTCTCAACCTCCTCCTAGCAAAACAAAAATACAGGAGAAGCTGTGTAGAGATTAAAAATAAAATGAGTAGGCTGGTTGTTCACATTCTGGGAAAGCCCAATCTGTCATTTGGAAAGATGGGCAAAGGTGGTTGCTATTATTATGAACAGATAATCCATTCAATAATTAGTGAATCAAACATTAAATCGTTTATTATTTTTAAAATCTGCTTTTCTGGTAAGTTACAGTTACTGCTTTATTGTACTTTTATTCTTTTTGTTTCTTAGCTTGAGTGCTATGAATAGAAATATAAGATATAAAAGCTAAAACAAAGTAAAAACAGAGCACCCAATACCACAAGTACTTTCCCACAGACTCACCTTTGCATTGAAGTGTCCCTGATCACAAGCCTTTGCCACATTATATACATACTGCCGACACGCCATCAACCGGGTGTACATATCAGCCATTTTACCCTGCATCAACTATACGCAGCAGTATAAAGAGGCAAAAAAAGGAAAATGTCTGAAATTGTTTTCAAATGTTATTTCTAAAAACTTGTATTGGCTCTATCCCTGAACATAGCTATACCCAGACTTATAACTGCAGTACAGAAAGGAAGGAGAAAAAAGATGTTTCAGTTCTCATTACTGATGTACAGAAGACAGAAGTAACATACATTTCCAGCTGCTGTCCGCAAATCAAAGTGCAAAGTGAAACAGAAGCAAGAACAACTTGTGTGGGATTAGCAAGCCTCAGTGAAATGTCACTGGGAGAACAGTTATTACCAGACGAAAATGGAGATAACAGCAGTTGGACAAAACCCAACATCGCTTGAATCAGAGTAGCCTTTGTAGCGCCAAAGCACTTTGAAAATCCAAATCCTACTTGTTCTCCAAAAGGGAGCTGTAAACTAAAATAGCGACTTATTTATTTATTAAATTATGTGCTGCCTGATTCCCAGCAACTCTGGGCAGTTAGTGTACGGAAGCAACACACTGAGCAAATCCAAACCAAATGCTGCTTCCCCCGATGCTAAATTTCAGTTTAATGAATATCTGACATTCTAGCAGTAAAATGCCATATTCTCTTACTCTGAATCACCCAGCGATTAAAGTAAGGAGAAAAGTACAACAGCTTTGTACTTTGTCTCTCAGCATGCAAATATCAACATAACTAGTATAGTGGAAACAATTAAAAGCCAACTAATCCAAAATCTATTTAATAAGGTACTTATTGATGATCAGATGCTAGCCAAATATTGAATTCTGCCCTGAAAGTTAATTGGTGTTGCTTTCATTATGCTTACCTGGAAGTGGCCAATTTTCTGCCCAAATGCTTCTCTTATATGCAAATACGGAACAGCATGATCTAGGACAGCCTGCATGATTCTGCAAGGGAAACAAATACACTAAAACTTATTTTAAGAATTTGCATCATATCTCTGAAAAGATGGCCTATACAAATTTAATGAAAAATAGTGAATCGATAAAACCATGAAACTGAAAGGGCATTAAGAAAAATAAGATGGATGAACAGTATCAAGTGATAAAAGGAAACTGATCAAATATTAAGAAATACCTAGAACCTACAATGTCCACTTAAACATTTCAGTACGATAGTATATCCAGGGGAAGGAAAAATTGTAAGTTACAGAGCTTATACACAACTTGAGTTGTTCCATTTTGAAAGTGTAGTAATTGTAATAGGATGGAGGCTATTGTAATAGCCTGTTCCTCACTGAACTTAAAAAAATCAAATAGCACATGTTGGGAAAGTCTTCTGAATCAGAGTACAAAACAAAATACTAAAGTATGCAGCTTATATGGCTAGATAGTATGATCCTTCTTTCCTGTGATTAGCTAATAATGTTTAAAATTAGCAAACTTTCAATTTCATCAAGATAAATTAGGGGAATAAAAAAGGTCCATATGTGTGTGGGGAAGGATGAAGGGAATCTTCATAATGATCTATTAATTTCAAATAATTAACATTTATATCACTGAAATGTGATAGAAAATATCTCAAATAAAAAAATTATGAAGTTTGGATCATAGTGTATTTTGTATGTCTGCTGAGTAAACATCATAAAAGTATATTTTACTCATAAAAACATTATGCAAACTTTAAAAATGCAACACAAAGTAATTTTTGGAAAACAAGACAAAACAAATGCTAGGGATGGGGTGGGGGAGGAAGGAATCATAGCTTCCAGCTTCTCTATATAATGGTTCATTAGAAGATTTGGTTTCATGTGGCTTTCATGCTGCGTCACTGTATTATGATTCATTGGTTAGGCAGCAAGAATTCTGATAGGTTGCATTACTCTGCAGAGAAGAATAAATTAGATTAACCTTATCTTATTCAAATTTGACCTAAAATACTTTATATTACGGTATTCTATGCACGGTTCTTTGAACAGCGTGAAGAAATCCAGCACTGGAAAAAGAAGACTGCATCTTTAACCCATTTCGTATTGTGCAGCTGTACTTTAAGGAGATTAGACTTCACTTCCCTTTTAATGCATTATTATACTAGGGGGCCCACCTACATACTGCCTGTTCAGTATGCTCATTTTTGCACCCCCTTCACTGAAGACTCCCTCAGATTATGCTGCCAAAGTTCAGCAGAAAAGAGGCTATATTTGGTGTGATTCTTCTTTCAATTCAAACAGTAACATAATTGCACAAATCTCTTAACCTAAACCTTTAAAAATAATACTTAAGGTGACAATGTCACTTTGGTGGAAGCTCACTCTGATGATGATCACTACATTACTTCCATGCCATTCTGCAATGCTCAAGAGTATTAAAAAAAAAAAAAGTAACATGCAGCCCTTCAATGTTGTCCACCTCTGTAAAAGTAACAGACAGTATAGGACCAGCTTTATGGGCAATTCATGAACTGAACGTCCCCCCCAAATTATTAGAGAAATTTGTATGAATTGTCACGTGGGCAACAACAAGAAATGGCACAATTATCCCAGCTACTGTGTTCATGTGTCTTAATAGCAAAAAGTACAGCTGCACTTAAGTCACTGATTTGTATAAGTCACCTCAAAGCTATAAAAATCATAATGATGGTTCCTTTGCTCCTGGAGATAATTGAAGGGAAAGGGAACCACTGTGAGTTAGTATAAGGTTGCTTAAAAATAATTTTAAAGATAACAAAACTTAATGTAATAAAAATAAAGTAAAAAGACCAATTGAAATGCCAGAATAATTTCTCCTGTGAATAATACTTTACATAAAGAATTATTAGCACCAACTGAGAAAACTGATAAAGTATGATAATGTTCTCAGAATAATAAAATAAACCCGTATTTACCCCAGTGGTCCACCAGACAGAATGAGTCTCTCTAGATCCAAACCACTCATCAACACGTAGACTCCTTTACTTAGTTGTCCCAATATATTCTCAGCTTTAAGAGACAAAGAAAAGTTGGTTACTTGCGTACCTACAACACTGGCTCAGATAAGAAATGCACAACTTGGGTTATGTGTAAGCCTATATGCATGCCAGTACATGGATACAGAGAGAGTCACATCTTTAACCGATACTATTTTCTAATAACAAAGAAAAAGTACCAGTACAAACCCAGTTTCTTACATATGTTATCAACAGAAGAGAATATGTGTAGTTCAGGGTTGAACTGTGGAGTCCTTGGAGTTCTCTGAGCTCAATGGTTTTCTTGCAAATGTTTCATTACCTGGCTAGGTAACACCTTCAGTGCTAGAATGGAGGGGAGTTTGCTCTCTGTTTATATGCAGTGGCTTGCCCTGCCTGTGTTGGTGGGGTTTTTTCCCTCCCCCTCCCCCTCCCCCAGTAGGAAAACCAGAGGTATTGGGGGGGGAGAGGGGAACCACCAACACAGCCAGGGCAAGCCACTGCATATGAACAGAGAGCAAACTCCACTCCATTCTACCACTGAAGATGTTACATATGTTGACCAAAAACGTAAAATCTGTGCAAGACCTAAGGTTTGATCTCACTGCAAAACCAAATTATAAATAAATGAGCAATAATGGAAACCTGTTGTGTCTAATATGGTATCAGTTAATATTAATATTAAAGGCTACTAACAACCTTGTTTTAAAAACATACCAAAGAAAGCAGTAACAGTAAAGTAAACCTGTACCCATTGCTTGTGTTGACATATAACTGTGGAATCACAAGGTGAAACATAGGCCTGAGCAACTTATGCTATTCTGCAATATATAGTACTGTGCAAAAGTTTTAGTCAGGTGTGAAAAAATGCTGTAAAGTAAGAATGCTTTCAAAAATATATATTGTAATTGCTTATGGCTGGTGTGGGTTTTCCGGGCTGTGTGGCCGTGTTCTTGAAGTTTTGTTTCCTAACGTTTCGCCAGCACCTGTG